TGGGCGACAACACAGATTAGCGCCACCTGCTGTTATGGGGACGTATTACGCCTCGCGCACGCGCAGAACGTACGCTCCAGTTGGCGTCGGTTTGGTGTGTTCGGAGGCATTTTTTTGACCGACTCGAGGAGACGGGAGCCGACTGATCAGTCCGACTGCTTTTCTGCCGACGGTCGGCCGTCGGGTTGGTGTGCAGAGGCCTTTAAGGATGTTTTCTGCTGAGGCAACAGGACGTGGAGATTTCTTCCGGAAAGGGCAGAGAGGTGTTGATGACCTTCTGAAGAGCTCTTCTGTATGCTGCTGAGCAGCCATAGTTGTCTGGAACATGTTGTCCATGTATTAAATGTATTGTATTTTCTAAATAAAGTTGAAAAAAATAATAGTACAGGCTTTTGGTCTCTCTCTCTCGGGTCAAAAATCAAGCTGCTCCACTTAGGCCGGAGAACTTTAGTTGTGTTGACTGGATATGCAGCTTTTTTTGCACCATTTAGCTTGTGTGTTTTTGATTTTGTATCGTTTCTGTATTTGCAGCATGTTTGCTGCTAATGTATTTGTTTTGGCTTTCCCACGCGTTTTTTCAATTGCAGCACATTTCCGTTGTTGTATTTGTTTTGGTATGTGCTTTTGAATTGGCATCATTTCTTAAGCTGCAGCACGTTTCTCCTAATGGAAATGTTTTGGGCCATTGTAGCACATTTACTCTTATCGAACAGAAAAAACAAACAAAAAAATCTAATCTTATGCAGTAGACTTGATGCTAAACAGTAGATTGTTCAATACACTGCAGTGTGTCAGGACTTTCCAAAAACTTAACTGTCTGTAGGACCTTGAAATTACACAGCAATTACTGCGCTGAAGAGTATTTTAGTGATGCCATGAGTAAGTAGAGTATTTAGCTATATAGCCTTTCCTGTGCTATGTATAACTTCACACTACATACATACCGTGAGTTGACTTGCTTTGTGGTACTTCATGAATAGGGTATCTAACTATTCTGGATCTGGTCCAAAGAAAATGGCAAAGATCTTTTTTTAAAACGACAGAATCAAATGCCAACACACACAGGTTCTCACATGGCAGCTGTGATTTAATTGGAAATATCACGCTGACATTAGTGAGTTTAAAGCACGCGGATCAGTGTTGCACATTTGCAGAGTGAGAAAAAAAAAAGAGGAGAAACATCAGCGCGGCTTAATATGCTTGGAATCCTACCAAAAGGGGGCAGCCAAGGCAAACTCTAATGAGCCTTATTGGAGGAGGTCCCTTTCCTTCTGCATCATTTTAACAGATTCCTCAATGAAGAGAAATTCCAAACATGCATACCTTCCGCCAGAAGAAAGCAGAGGGAGGGGGAGCTACTGCCTTAAATCCATATAAGTCGACCCGGTTTCACTGTGTGACCAAACAACCCGTGGTATCAAGGATACAATCCGCTATTTATAGATGCCCCTAATGCAGCCCTATTTTCACACTGCTGCTCTCTACACATAGCTATGCAGGGCATTGTGGGTTTCCACTACTTCAAAGGAAAGGGACTACCTAACAAGGGGCTCCTCTTAAGATAAGTCGTCATCATCCTTGTAGTC